CCCCTTCGTCAACTGTACTGGTCCATTCATCTCGAACGAGAAGCAGGTTCGTGGTGCAGGATCGCTTTTGCCTAAACCCGTGTTGAGCTGTCGAGAGAATGCTGTATCTTTCGAGATATTCCATCAGAGAATCCACCACAATTGACTCCATCACCTTCGATAACACCGGAAGCAGGGTTACAGGTCTATAGTTAGCGGGGTCACTACGACAACCACCTTTGTATATGGGAGAAATGACTCCTTGTTTCCATGATTCGGGGAGTGTTGCTTGGTCGAACATTCGTTGAAACAGAATAGCTAGCGGTTCGGATATGTGATTTGCCAAAAAGATCAGAGATTTCGGGTGTATGTTGTCCGCACCTGGAGTTGCGTTTTTTCGCAAAGCCATTAGTTTTGCTTTGACGTTTTCAGCAGTAAATGATACGTAGGTGAGTGAAGGATGTGGAAGATGATGCAACCGTTGGGGTAATTGTAAACCTTCAACTTGCGGTGCTGCTAATACGTTGGAATAATAAATTTTCAGCATTTTCGCTGCTTCCGTTGGAGTGTCTGCAACTCTTCCAGCCCTACTTAGTACCGGTATACCAAACTTTACTTTCCGAATGGAGTTGACGTGTTGGTACAACAGCTTAGATTTAGTAATGAATTGTTTTTGCTAGCACCTCTTGGTATTTCACGTTATCCTCACGAATCAGCCTGGTGCAGTGGTTCTTCAGCATACGGTAATTATTCCATATGACAACATTCGAAGGATGATTATAATCTCGCAAGGCTAAATCCCTCGCCGATAGCCATTTCCTTGTGCGGCTTCGAATAGGTGAATTTCGGATGCCGGATTTGGTGATTACTCTAGTTTTAGTCACGGATGTTATTATATTTGTAAGATTTTCAGTAAATTTCTTCCATGCGACCAACGGATTAGCTTCTTCGTCATAAGAAACCCACTGAGCAGAGAGCGCCAAGTTATTCAACAGTGTGTAGTCTATGGATCTGCGCGTGTTACCAGAGGAACTTCCTTGAATCGATGCGTAACAGACGTATTTGAATGTAAGTACTGCATGATCGCTACGTCCTAGGGGAGAAGTCACATTGACAGACTCTACCATCAGCTCCTCATTGGTCAACACTAAATCCAGTATGGACGGTGACTGAAGGTTGCCAAACCTAGTGGCCACCTTCACATGGTTGTAAAGTGGATGCGAGTCAATCAGCCGTTTGAAATGATGTTCGAAAAATGGGCGAACGGTAGCTGATTTATTGAGATTGGGGCAGTTGAAATCCCCCATAAGGAGAAAATGAGTGAATTTTTGTGTAAGAATGTGTGACATAGTTAGTAAAAGCGTCTCATTGGCCGTCTCCGAGGATGATGGGGGACGATAGACTACACCAATCAAACAATCATCATGTTTGGACAACTTCAACCTGCACCACAGAGTGTCCGGTGTCGAAACGGGAGGGTAGATTTGCTCGCAATCAAGACTGTTTCGGAAGTAGAGTAAAACACCACCACCACGGGTAGGACGATCGCTTCTGAGTAGAGACATCTCTGATAAAGACAATTCGGAGTCCGAAATATCAGTTGTGAGCCAAGTCTCTGTAACAGCAATAATATCCCATTGACTAGATATAAAACGTAACTTCAACTCTGGAAATTTGCCGAGGAGTCCTTGAGCATTAGAGTAAAAACAGTTTAGATATTGTCGGCGTAGAAATCCGCTTGGATAGGAAGTGGTATCTCGGCCGACCCCTTCTCGGTCGGCTACCTTTAGTTTTTTAGCAGAGGAGATCTGGTACTTTGGACCACGGGTTGCGCCGCGGAGTTCGGTACATGCATGGTGTGGTCTGATGCATCAGAAGGGTTCTCCAGATTTTGGTGTGCTTTGAGCCCGGGATTGAGTAGGGGTCTCACACGTAGTTCTGGAGGCCCTCTGTTCTTTCTTTCCCGCCATAACTGTAAGACTGTGTTCGCCATTTCTGGAGTTCCAAGGGCAACTTTCATTATCCTCGGACCGTTACCACGGTAATGTGGTGAACAGGGAAGACGACCGATTGAAATTATCAAAACGTCGCTACACTCAAGTAGATTTTGAATGAATCGTCATTCCTTTCGGTCGTTCTGATGACCTTTCGGTTCATCCGGATCGTCCAATTGCGGGACACCATGGAGAAGTACGACCCTCTTATTTTCCTCCACTCGTGCTCTCATTGGATCGGACTGTTGCTGCATTCGTTCCGTCCATGGCCTATCAGGGAAGATTCTTATTGGGCAAGAACTCTTTCTGAGAAGGTAACTAGAAAGAAGAACGTCCTCCAAGTCCTTATCATCTTTCGGGGTCACCCGGAGCAGTCTGGGTTCCCCGGCATGTGGCGACGTCGGCTGGAGCATGAGTCCTGTGAAGCCGACGGGTAGAACATTAATGCCCATCTGCACGCACAAATCATGCCAGTGTACCATCTCTTCTCCTTGTCGTTCTATAAGTGGTTGGGTTGTCGGTTAGGGTACATTGGTGCAGATAATTGTCAAACCAGTGCCGCTCCCACCTTTTTTACCCAGTATCGAAGACCTTGGTGTGGATATGATCGGTTTCGTTTGAAGGAGAACCTTTTTCTGTTCAGAAACGTTTACCGCGTCTTTCATGACAGTGGAAACTATGTTTATTTCGGCAGAGGTCATACATTGCTTTGGAGCACTGCTGATTAAGGAACGCCTTGGACGTTTGGCTGGTCGTTGGATTGAGCTCGACGGAGGGATCTGGGAGCTCATGGTAGCTATCTTTTCTTCCAATTCTAAAATTTTTAAGTTAGTTTTATCCTCCGCAGCTAATAGTAGCTTCTCGAACCTATTTTCAATGCCCATCATGTATTTTATAACCGGGGTTTTCGTGCAGTCACTGCAAAACCAAAGGCAGTCCTGTTGTGCCAGCATCTATTTCATCTCCTTTATCGATAGATTGGCGCATGCGGCGTGAAAGTTCTTCTGGTAATATGTCCATGGCATTCCTGGTTTGACCTCCTTTTCGCAACCTGTTGAACCGCATACACTCAAACCTTGTGTGACTAATTGCGTTGACAAACTTCGGCGACCCCATTCTGGGGAGGAAATGGTGGACATAAGGACAAAGGACGAAATGTCCTTGTTAATTTTAAACTTGTAAATCCTCTGTGTTATTTCAAATGAATTCAAGGCAAACTAGTTTGTACACTTAATGCAATAAACATGACATGGGTGTGTCTCAGTAAGGCTAATATTTGGAAAGCAAATAGTGGTCAATTCACCACGATTAAATTCCTGCTTTTGGGGGCTTCCTCTCACCAACAACATGTACTGTTATCCCATCTGATGAGATCAACTGTGCAAGAAAACCTTCCTTGTTCTTAGAAGAGTTTTTAGCTCGACATATCTAAGCTTGTTAAAAATCGGTTCTCCTATCTCGGGTGACCTGAATTCCATTTCACCTGTTCGCTGAGCTTGGCAATTTGTTTGCCAACGTTTCATCACCAGCCTAGGTGACATCATCAGTGCTTGGAATGTAGCAGTGTTCGGCTTGTACCCGTTTGATTATATGTTTTGTTTCTTCACCCACAATTTTTGTTCCTTGTTCTCACTACGTTCGAATTGGTCTGCAGTTAAACTGGTGCGACGGGGAAAGTGTGGGAGTCGGAACGAGAAAGAACACATAACATCATTGTTAACACATTCAATGAAATCAAGTTCACAATAGAGACAGAACGAGATAAACAATTGGCATTTTCGGACATCCTGATTATCAGAACGCCATCAGAAAAACTAGAGACAACGGTCTACCGCAAAGCAACGCCCAGCGGTACAACCCTAAACTTCAAAGGTAATCATTCATACAGCCACAGAAGAAGATTTGTTAAAATCTTGTTCGCAAGAAACCAAACGCAATACAGCGCTTACATACTCTAGAAGAAAGAAGAAAGATACCTCCTCAGAGTACTTAGTCGCAATGGCTACCCCAGAAACTTAATCAAAAGAACTCTGACTCAAAGAAAAAAAAGGAACAACAAACGGAACCAAGAACAACCCTGCCGAAGATCAAGAAAGTTTCGGAAATGACAGCAAGACTGCTGAGATCATATGAAATCCGAGTCACCCACAAACCGAGCGCCTATCTGAGTAGATTTCTGTCAAAACCAAAGGAGAGAACAATGGAGAAGGACAAGAGTGTTACTACAAAAATACAAAATAAACTGCAAGAACTGTCCAAAACTTTATAACCACTTTTTATTCTTTTCATTTTACTTCCTTTTATTGAATATATAAAGACACAATTTTGAGGAAAGGGGGAAGCGGCCAATCAAAGGGATGCCAATCAACACACACAGTGAGGAAGGTCAGACGGTGGTGGTGGGATTCGAACACATCTCCAGGGTGATAATTTCCTGACGTTACCACAGGGCCACTACTGCCCATCGGATAAACTGCAAGAAAACTGTCTACAAGGTTATGTGAACACCAAATCGACAGTCAGTAGACATGACTCACTGTCGTTGATGTCTCTCCACGAAGATCAAGGACATCCGTTTAACTTCGAATCAGTGAAAATGATCGACCAAGCCCGGTCAAAACACGCCAGAGGATTCCTCGAGACTTAATACTCCTCAATCAACTCAATAAACAGGCACATCGATCTGTATCACGTGTACACGCCAATACAACTGAAAACACATATGACGCAACGAAAAGGGTCATGCCTTGACCTAATTACGGATCGAACGAACGGAACAGAACAGAACACTGCCACTTCCCAGGTACTGATGATCTCACCGAGGCTGGTGATGAAACATTTGCAAATAAATTGCCAAGCTCGGCGAACAGCTGAAATGGAACATCAGAGTTTGACCTAATATTTCCCAAGCTGATAAGGACATAACCACTTCACATTTCCTCTTTATCCCTTTGGGAGCACGGATGAGGGTGAAGAATGTGGCCCTTGAGGTTTCTTGTCCAATGAAGCAAACTTTATCCAGTGTAAACCCATGTTGGTCTAAATGGAGCACGTCACGGGGGTAAACGCGTTTTGCGAGCGGTTTGACGCCTGTCAAACACAATTGACATGACGCTTCGCTTAGTTTGTGAAAGCACAACAGAAAAATATGGTGGTGTACAATTTTCCCCAACGCCTAACTTGATCGGACAAATGGCCTAAAAGGTGCTCAAGAATCAAACTGTGGCAACAAGGTGGACGTCAATACACATGAACAAAATGCGACCAGTCGCGTTTCACTTGCTTGGTCATCCTACAAGTTACTTTGGAATAGTTTTTCTGGTTACCTTCAAAACACACCTTTTTCGTTCACTGATTTGCATGAAAACACAATCGAATGAAGTATGACCGAAAGGGTGGAATTGAAAAAATAAATAAATAGTTTATTGGGTAAATGACATCATTTTGTACAATCTGGATAACCTGACCCTATGCAGATTTTAGAAAACGTAGACCACGTGTAAGGTGAAATAGGTCAAGGGTTAGAAAACAAAAGAAACACTAGGTACGAATTATTGAATGCATGCCTCTGAATAACACCGATTAGTATTCCGAAGTTCTGTTGCAAGATCCGCAATTAAATGAACCGAATATTTAGAGCTGCAAGTTTTCGACTGGTTTGGTATCCGTTTTGAGGTGTCTAGTGAGCTTACACTCATGGAGAACAAAATGGTACACCTTCTGAATCACAAACGGTACTTAAGCTATATGGATGTACATTTACTTCGTACAGAATTTATTCGTGAGATTATCCGCAGTTCTGCAAACCTGAAACACAAAGTTCGGAAAGAATATGGCCAAACAATCAGTTTCGACCATTCTATATGGATTAACACCTATTCCATTGATCACAGGTACCAAGCACAGTCACTTTCCCTCGGAGTGGATGGCACTCCAAGGGAGAAAATGTTAATTTCGTACTAGATAGATGTATTTAGGTGCGCAACAAAACTCTCCCCGTGATACCCGATAACGAGCCGGGGACAGCTGTTGCATCCAGTTGACGAGAGCCAAAGAGGAGGATGCAACTTTCCAATGCTCCCTGAGTGACGTGAAGATTTCTCTTGCGTACACCAAAAACCACCTTTAGCTTTAGCCTGACCAAAACTGCCTGTGAACTCTAAAATCTGGGAGAGCCATCTCTTTATTCCCACGTGTTTACCCAGAGCTATTTTTTGTTACCTGAATTTAATCTTCGCAATAAACACATGTGACAAAACACGACAAAACACACACACGACTCGCATTCCTTTGTTGTGAAATGATTCCCCGTGCTATATTAAACGTGTCTCATTTCAACAGTATGAAAAGCGCTATCATAAAATCTCAATATTAGAAGATACCACCCAAACCAAACTACTATGAATCTGCTTGCAAACAAAGTTGAATTGCAGTAAAATGATTTACGATTTGTACCCATGCCAACAATATGCCAGCAGCAGGAATTTGGACTACCCGATCCCTCTAAAACACGCAATCAGGTTACTGCAAATAGCTAGATATGTCTATCCAATAACCAACCGACCGATGTGAAGCTCACTATTCATAACCGACTATTACCGAGAAGCAAAATAAACCAAGTTGTTTGAACCGTATTCGCCATACTTATATCATGTGAGGCGGTAAAATAGTTTACTTTTGAACCTGCTTGGGCCGTCGTGTCAGTCATCATAGGTGACTGTGTGAATCACCATAGGTAACTCTGTGAATTCATCAATCTCACACTTAGTTGTTGATTGCACAACATTAAAACGTGGATACGGTTAAGGAATGCTGGTTAGTAATGCTGTTCCAGGCAATAGTAAGATACTGAACCCGGAAACGCGTACACGGAGTGAATCCGCCAAAAGCAAAGAATCTTGTGCTACTTGTAACACATAGAAACCAAATGATGTTAGGAGTGTATCGAAAAATCGATGCGCCATGTGTTGTTTTATTGTGAATGTTATAGTGTTAATAACACAGCGACGTTGGTAGAGAATAATATTCGCCGACGTTTCGGTTACCGTGGCTAAGCTTTCTCAAGGCACCTTTTACAATCAAATGACTCAGAGGAAAGGATAACAAGTTAACCGATATTTCATCGTGTGTGTATGCGCGCATGTGTGTCTCTCTGTGTGTATGTGGTGGGCTGAATGATTCGTTTTCCGTCATACTAACTCACACTATCAGATGGGGTCAAGTGGTACCGTGGCCTTTGTCGTGATTACGCGTTTAGGATGTTAGGGTAGTCCAAATGCTCGGGAAATCGATTCCGTCATTTCTGTTGACGCGTGCAGAGTGGGTGTTCATGGCCAAATCTTCGGCATACGAGCGTTCAGCGCATGTTCGAAATCCGAGTTGGAGTATTTTTGGGTTCTCGTAGTCTATGATATGACCTTCGGCGATGGCGTGAAGAGCGATCGCTGAGTCTCGTTCTGGTTTTGCCAGAGTTGCTTTGTGCGTAGACCGGTGTTTTTCTTTTCTCTTGTGTTCGGTTATTCCTGTCTTAAGTTGTCTGCTGTTTTGCCCAATGTGTGCTACGAGGCATTCTTTAAAATCGATTTTGTAAATGCAGTTGTTTTGATCTTGCAATTCGACCGGATCTTTGGCTTTCACGAGATGACGTTTCAGGGTGTTGTCAACCCGAAAGAATGTGTTTATGTTGAAATCGCCGAGAATCTTTCTTATTCCTTCTGAAGTGCCTGATCTATATAGAATGCCAATAGAGGCTACACGGTCTTTTCTTTAATTGGGTTGTATCATTGATTTGT